AAGTACAAGTGTTCATTTAAAGAAATAAACAGAGCAGTAAGAGATGTTTTTAAAAAATTGCTTTCTTTATTTTGATTTGCCGCCAATTACATGTTTTTATTTGTAATTTTTGTAGTGCTCCCTACTATGTGAACCCCTCACCTGAAGTTTTATGTTTATTGGTTTAAGTCAATTAAATTCTAAACTATCACAGGGCTCGCAAAATCTCTAGCTCGACATCCCAGGGCTAGCAATATCTCCGGTTGGGCGACCAAAATCACCCAACCGGAGATATTGCTAGCCCTGGGACGTCGGGCTAGCGATTTTGCGAGCCCTGTATCAACCCAACAATCAAATGATCCCCTTAAATAGCAAGCACTGGGCAACGGTGGAAAGGAAAAACTCCCTTATAAAAAGGGAGAAACTTTTGACAGAACCAGGCTAAGAAAGGGGCAGCCATCTGTCGTGACTGGTTGGGGGGTGAGAGGCAGAGGAAAAGAAAAATGAGAGCACACGTTAGCTATATGTTGTTCACATTACCTAAAATGAACAATGTATGGTTTTCTGGACTGTGAAAGAAATGTCTCAAGTCACTTTTCAGTGACGTGACCGAAGACTTTTCTGGATGGCCGTGCGGATGCTTGTCAGAAACAGTTCATTTCCTTTCTTGGAGAAATGAACTCCGTCGGGTAAAAAAATTGAGCTGCTGAAAAACCTGAAGCACGGATGCTCAATAATCACTCCATCAAAGAGGTCGACAGCCTTTCTAATGCTGGCATTCACAATCGTCCTGTCCTTATTGATTTCGCCTGGATTTCCATATCTCCACACTTGACGCCCATTGATGGATGAATATGCAATTGTCATCTGTGTGCAGTTGCATCAATTCCTTCTCAATGACAGAAGAAAGTTTATAAGCAGAAAAGACTCCCAAATCATTGCCCCCAGCATGGATTACCAGTATGTCAGGTGGGCTCTGTGTGGATAGCTCCTCATAAAAACGAGGAAGGACTCCCCTCCGCGCATTCCTTCTTTGCCAAACCACTGGACTTTGGCATTAAGTCCGAAATTTTCTCCGAAAATCTCTTTTGCTTCACCCTCGGCTCGTCTGATGTAGCTGGACCCAATGATCCACACGTTTGTTTCTCTCTGGTCTTCTGGCCTCTTCTTGTCTTTCGGTGTGTTTTCAGAGGTTTTGGTATCACCCAAGGCCAAATTGTTTGTTTTCTGACCTGGGAGTCGGATAGTCCTGGACCAGGGACTTTGTGGGATGCTCTGTGTCACTGCTGTGTTTTCAGAGGTTTTGGTATCACTCAAGGTCGTATCATTTGTTTCCTGAACTTGGAATTGGACCATGCTGGACGAAGAACTTTCTTGGATGCTCGGACTCACTGCTGTTTCTTTCTTCTCAGTGTCTATTCGCATCCTCTTTCTCTCTGGAGAGTAGCTCTCAGAGTTGTTTTTGCTGCCTTTTGAAATCTGACTGTATCGTCTTTTCAACACATTTTTTTTGTTGTTGTTGATTTTTGCCGTGATTACTCTGAGACATGTTGGAGTGTTGATGAAGCGACTGTGTTAAAGATTCAACTGTCACAAAGTGTTTCTCAGATGTACCTTTGAATGCTGCAATCTTACGTGTTGCAAATAAACTGACTAAAAGTTTGGGATCCCTACCCATATTTATAGGTTCCATGCCCTATGACATCATCTTCATGATGATGTCATATAAAATGTTAAAAGCTTTATAAAAATCCAAAAAAAGAATGAAACTATTATCTGTGATTAAATCTGAATGGTCCAAAATATCAATTACCAGTCTTATATTGTTAGTTATGTGTCTGCCCTGTTAATATTATGTATGTAAATTCACACATCATTTGTTAAAAAGGTGAGCTTAACAGTTACAGTAAGGGACAGTGCTCCATACAGCCTGTTAATTGGGTCAGAAACATGGGATGCGGGGCAGCTGGTAAGGATTTGTGTATTTCTGCAAAGTCTGCAAAGTCTGCAAAGTTGTCTTGGCTGATTTCAAAAACTTTGCTCGGTTTACTCGTCAGAAGGCTGTAAATTCAGCTCATTGGTCAGATCAAAACGGTCCCCTGGTGTTTCAGTGGCTCAAGCAAGAGCCTGCCTTGCTGAAATGACTTTATTGACAGGTCTGGGAAGAGCTTGACAGGTCGAGCTTGCGGCCGGGGGTTACAGTCAGGGCCTATTTCCACTAGGTGAGAGTCAGGCAGGCGAGAGCTTCCGATCACTTGGGGTCACTGGAGTTGAGCGAGGGTGGGGTAAAAACTCCCCAAACAGCTGATTCACACAATTCATGTCAATTCGCTCTCTGATTGGTCAAGAGAGTGCCTGCCTCTCTGAAACTGCTTTATTGATCAGTGGTTTTTCTCATAGGTAAACGGTAGGGCCACCTCTATTTTAAATTGCTTTATTAGTGGATCCCTGCTCGGGAGTGGCACCGTGAGTCAGAGAGTCATTTTACCCACACAGGCTGCTTTGTGAAGACCCATTTTTACTTTTCTCGGGGATCCTCGCTCTGGTATGATCATCTCACAGTGAGGTGGAGCGTTTGTAAGGCTAACTTACAACTCTTTTGGATTAAACAAACCAAAAAATGCAATAAAGGGTTGCACCCTCAGAGAGACATGACTCCATTCTCCTTTTGGCAACTTTATTCTCCTCAGTTCAGGTTCGGAGTTTACAGGCAGCATAGCATATCATCAGCAAACATGATATGCTATGATATGATATGATATGTTTTTCTTTTTTCTGCGCTTACTGATGGCATCACAAGTCTGAACTCTGACCTCCTGGAACTAATGAACTACAAAAATTAACTGAAACTACAATAATTAACTGAAAATTGTGTCCAAAAATAAAACACCATTAAATAAGATTTTCCAACGATTCAGAAAATCTCAATTTTATAACTACTTTTAGAGCGCAACAAAAGCTTTTCATCAGGGCATGCAGCCTCCATCTCTCCACATCCTCACCATTAAAAGAGCACTGGTGCCATTTTTGTCAAAAAAGTAAACTTTTTGGCTTAAAATTACAACAAACTCAAACTATCACAAACATCCCATTCATCATCCTAGTCCACTGCCATATTTTCATGATCATATAACTTTTGGGAATATGATTATTGATAATTTCCAAGTATCATAATTTTATGACTCATAATATGATTCATGGTTCATAAAAAACTATGACTGCCATTAACTTTTATTACCTCTAAATCATTTGACAGGGGCCATAAATCACTAGCTTGACACATATTATCCCTCCTGCTGTGCAGTTTCTGTTTTAAATGCATTCATTGTTTCACTGCTTTCCTCCATCTCTAAATTTAGAAATATCCTGTCTCAGGGTGACGCTAAAAAACTAGTTCCTTGATTTATTACTTCTAGGCTGGACTAGTTTAATTCATTATTATCAGGAAGTCCTAAAAACTCCCTGAAAAGTCTTCAGTTAATCCAAAATGCTGCAGCAAAAGTGCTGACAGGGACTAGAACGAGCATATTTCTCCGATACTGGCTTACCATACGGAAAAGAAATAGAAAAAACTTATAAAAGACTTGCATCAGATGTGGCCTACTTCATACAGTGAATCATATAAGGCTGATATGATTTACTCATGAAAGTGGCCACTTTCATATATTGTTTTAGTAAGAATCCAAAACATACAAGTTTCATTTACATAATTTTTATAGGGATCTTATATCATTTTTACTGTTGCATGCTTTTCATACAAGTTTCACACGAGACAGATACGAACTTTATAAGATTTATATATCTTTTCCACATGGGTTCCCTTCATTGGCTTCCTGTTAAATCCAGAATTGAATTTAAAATCCTGCTCCTACAAGGTCTTAAATAATCAGGCCTCATCTTATCCTAATGACCTTATAGTAAGTACCATATCACACAACTCTGGCATATAATCAGGATAAGATCAACAAACATGTGGGCCTGGAAGATTTCTGAAGGAAGTTGTGTCTCAAAATCTAGGGCACATCCTTCTTAGGACCCGGCCTTCGCAGTCTACGTGGGCCGGGTCCTTCGACGACCAAGAAGGCCGGAAGTGCGAGGCTGTGAAGTGGGACATCTAGCCTTCGGATTTGCGTCACCGCTGTGTCGGTGGAGTTTAATAAACTCGGCCATCTGCTCCTTGCTATCTAAAATATAACAGGACACTGCCGTAATTTCTCGACCGTCTCATACTTCTGTTTAATCAGTTTTCTGTTTGACGTTTATTCAGCTGTGTAAAACCCCTGGAGGAACCCACCCAATGGATTAATAAAGTTTTATTTAATCTAATCTAATAACTTTGATCTCAGCCAAACCGATTTACTCACAAACAAATAAAACACAGAAAAAAGCCAAACAATAACATTTTTAAGTGATCTGAGTGACTTATATATATTGTTTAACCTGAGAAGCGAAAGACGGCCAGGGTCTGAAATTGATGTAGCCAGGAGTCCGCTGTTCTCGCCGGCTCGAGTGACCATTGAACCCCCAGCTAGCTATCGAACGGGTGGGTAACAGACGTCTCCAAAAACGTTGGAGCACTTTTGCAAATATGCAATGTCTTGATAAACCAAGCAGATATTTGAAGTTTACACGGCTACTTTCTCGCCTGAAAATATGTTTAAAGTTTATTTTGTGAAGATTAATAAGAGTAATATTAAAACTTAGGCTCTTGACATTTCCAGCAGGTGTCATTGTCAGCAAGCTTCAACCTGACTAACTTACTGGGAGTCCAGTAATTTCTGTGAAGCAACTTGTATTGGATAAGCTGAGATTGTGCTTCAGGTGAGCAAACATACCATGATGAAACCAGCTTTTTTTCAAGGTTTTTTTCCCCCTTGCTACCTAGCCTGACCTGTCTCCCCAATGTGATGTTTCTGTATTGTATGTACGGTCAGCAAGGTCTGTCATCTCAGTTGTGGGCAACTGACAAATAAAGGCTATCTCATCAAGCCACTGTGAACATGACATCTTTCGACAGCAGACCCAAAAGCAGGACACAGAGGACGAGAAACTGAGATAAACAAAAGGCCAGCATTTATTATGGCTGAAACAAGGTGGCATGACAAAACAGCAGGGACAGTGACTAACTAAACTAGAAGCTAAACTGGAGAAACTAAGACTCTACTATAAACGACAATGACTGCGACAATTCTGACTGTGACAACGTGGTGGCAGGTAACACAGACGACGTGATAATGAACAAAGGGAGATGGAGAGCTTAAATAGACACATGACGTGAGCAGGAGAAGTGAAGACACATGAGGACACAGCTGACTCGAATGAAACAATGACAACACAGGGGAGAGTAACACTGGACACACTAACATGAGATACGGACCTTCAAAGTAAAACAGGAAACATGACAGGCACAGACTAGACACTGAACTAGACCTTAGAACAAAACTCTTAACTACAATAACACTCAAACTTAGGATTATAACGTTCAAAACAGGACAACTAAAGACTCTGAAAACAAACCATAATACAGAAAAAAACACAAAAATACAAGAAACTGAAAATGCTAGGTCAAAATGACCCAGAACCATGACACTTCCCTAAATGTCGATACCCTGCAAATAGTTACTGATTTAGCCAAAAGAAGATGGTATCATCAAGCTGTGAAAGGGGGACCAGATTATGGAGTATCTACTCCTTGGTAGATCACGTACATGTATTGTTAAAAAAGACAACAATATTTTTTGGATAAACAGCTCTCCATCACTCTTGTAAAACCAAGCACATGATTCAGTTATCCTCAGAAAAAGAAGCAATTTATAACATCCATTGCAGAAGGACTAACACTCATTTAGCTGAGAACTTAACTCTTTGGAGAGCATCTGAGAATGACTTACAAAAATATATATAAATAAAATGTATCCAGTTGATACAGGACACCTGTCAGAGTTAAAATAACTGATTTGCTGAGATGAAGGGAATGTAAGAGGCACACATGTTGCTCAACATGAAGTCTAGATGAACTACTTTGAGATTACAACATAAAACATTGATGAAATAAAAATTATTTCAGTTTTCCAAACAAAACTGGCCTCTTGTGTCCATTATGAAAGGTGCCCGAGGACAACAGTTGTTTTTGGTACTCTCTGTTTGTAAACATTAACGTTCAAATCGACTCTTGGGACAGTTCATATGAGAATAAACAAAGTAAGATGAATGAAAAGTTGCTACTGATTATTTATTTTAAATAAAAAAGCTATAAATGTTGGGATTAATTACAAAAAAATGTTTTAGTTATTTTTGTAGCAGTGGTAGCAGGAGTAGTCTAAAGAAGTCCACAGACTTAAAGTCCAACAATAAAAATCTGTATTTCCAAAAGAGGCAGTGGTTATTCATGTAAAGGCATCAAAATAAACAGCCAAAAAAGCCAAAATCTAAAAACACTTCAAAAGGTTGCACAGGAGGAAGTCAACATAAGGAGCGACAAGAGAAAGAACTAAAAATCGCCCCCAAAATACTTCACTACAAGAAACACATCTGGCAATGAGCGGTAATTCAAAATGTGTGAAGGATAACAAAGGCGAGAGTATTCAGTGCGGGAAATACGAGCACAAAATAAGGAAAACTAACGAGAGTATAAATAGATATAGAATCACAGCACAAAACAATTCAGTTTAAACTAAAGCTAGCCCCTGGCACACACAAACCTCTGCACCATGGTAAAACAGAGACTCATGGAGGGGCAAATGTGACCTGATATTTTACATCTTTGTACAGTACTTTCTATATGTTACCAATTTACATCACACTTAAAAGAATGATAGTTTCTAAGTTAAAAATCTTTTTGTAAATTTTCAATCTATAAATCATTAAAGTTTACCTTGAAGATCTTGCTGGATGTAAGCCAAATTCTAAGCCAAATCATTAACATGACCCAGCTCGACACACCTACAAAGTTTTTGTCAGATAAAGAGAGATAACACGCCTGCATGCACACAAAAACATAACCTTTCTTTTTGATAGTAAGTGAAACAGTCACGCGCACTTGTCTTTCAGCATATTGCACATTCCCTTTCTGTTGCTTTGCTCAGCATTAACTGACATAATTGCTTCAGGATGTAACCTGTTCTTTCACAGGTTGATCCTTGTTTCATAGGCTTGAATCATCTGTCCGAGGACAAGACCGAGTTGTTGTCCTTGCACCACCTGGTCAGCTGCTCCACCTAACACCTATAAGCTGATTTATTCCTGTCAGCAATGACTCCAAACACAATAGTGTCACCTGCAAACTTTGAGGTCTGAGACCCTACTCTTCTGGTGGTCCCGATACTCTCATATTAGACTACTAAGATTCTGAATCATTAAACTCCTCAAATTCCTTCAGTATCCACAGGTTCAGGTTATCAGTTTCAGAGCCACAGGCTGTTCAAATACAGACAGCTTTCCCAAGTGGTTAAAAGTAAGAATGACCTACTAAACTTCACCGTTCCATGGTTCATGCTTCGCTGAGCCAGAATTAAATATGTGAAGGTCCACGCTGAATCAAAATCATATAAGTGAATATTTTAAAATGGTCTAAGTGAAGAATTATAAATGGAAATAAATTCATGTCAACACTGTGCAAAAAGGAAGAACTTAAAAGAAAAAAAAAGTTTCTTGCAAATGCAATTAAACCTAATTTAGAAGCAGAGAAGCAAGAACACCGAGCCAGTGTTTAGACATAAGAGACTAAAGGCAGAAAGTTAAATAAAATCCCAACATAGAGTCTACTGCACAGTGCAACATCTACATCAATGCTGGCTCATCATCATTTTCCTCTTTTAACTATATGACAGAGCTCTTTTAATCACATAAAATCCTCATGTGAATGTTGCTCAGTCAGCATAAACACAAGAAAGAATTTTCTGAAAGCCTAAAAATGAAACGGATGATAAAAAAAAAATGATGACAACAGGACGGTTCAGGAGCAGAGTCATCGATGGTGAGGACTAGCTTTCATAAACAGCTTATACATTCATATCCACCCGTTCACTGATAAAAACAATCTGAATTTGTCAGTCTGTACTCCCTGGTGCAGTCTGTGTCACTCTCCTCTCACTCTGCATGTATTTTCTATACAGGAAACACAAAATGACCACAACAACAGCAGCAGAGGCAAAAACACAAAGCACAGTGGTTGCAGCATGTGCTGACTCCTCCTGCAACCGATCTGATACAGCTGGTTCACCTGTAGAATACAGTACAATATAGTTACACGACAGGTACACTGAATACAACGTGTTCTGCATACACGGACTTTAAAATGCTGAAACACACTCACCGCTGATTGGCTGTAGTCTGATAGGACGGGATTTCTCCATACCGCAGGTTGTCGAGATTTCAACTGTGACAACGTCCTTTTCTATCACATCTAAGATGGTCAGTGACACATAGGTATAATTATTCCATTTACAGCCGTATTTTACGCCATTGTCACAGAGTTTGGTGCCATTTGTGTTACGCCAGACATAACTGTGACCAACACAGTCTTCTCCTTCTAAAATCCAATTTATGAAACAGGTTAGAACCACATTTTCTCCAGCGGTAATGTTGACAGTCTCGTTGCACGTCAGTGACACGCCTGGAAGAGAAAAAAGCAATAAGTGATGTTATTCCTTGTTTATTTGTCCCAGTGTCTTAATAATAGTATAGTACAAGGGATAAAAATACCTTGATCTGATGATACAGTGCTTGGTAAAGCACAAAACACACTCAAACATATCCACAGGCAGAACATCCTGGAAGTGCCACTGTCTTTAGAAACTGGAAAAAAGAAGAAAATATCTGAGTACTTTTAAGTAAAAACATTCTCAACAGGAAAAACACCAATATAAATATTCTTGTTTCCAAAACGCTGTAAAGACTTACATATAGCTGCTAAGGCTAACATGTTATCCAATAATAGCTTACACCTAGTGCACCAGACCTAAATAATGTTTAACACAGGCTTTCTTTGCATTAGATGCCTGGACATCTATAAAGGCTACACAACAGTGGTTACCCGCTTTCTCTGTTAATCTGTTAACATGCTATCAGATGTTGATGATGATGATCAGGGCTGGACTGGGACAAAAAAATCAGCCCGGGCATTTTGACTAGAGACGGGCCCACCAGGTATTATAGGAAAAACCATAAAGCCTTTGAATGAAAACAAACGTCGTTGTGACAGTGATGTACACTGTCTTGTTGGTATATATGTATCAGTCTAATAACCTTAAACCTACACCATCCTCCCTATACTGCTATTCTAAACAGTACTTAGCTGAAACCCAAAGACTTGGTTGAGTTAACCTCCTGAACTATCTACAACACATGGTGGAAACCTGAAATGAAGACAGAGAAGACTAGAGGTGAGACATGATCATTACTGAATATTAAAAATAATAAATGACAGATTTAGTGATATTTTCATAAACCATTCATTTGCCACATCAATAAACAGCATGGCAGGGCAAAATATTTTTTCTAACATGGCAACCTTTAAAAAGTGAAAGGAGACAGAAAGACAGGCGAGAAAGAATAAAACTTAACTGACTTTTTGATGGCATTTTACACACAGTACTGGTACAGAAAATACTGGCATCATATACAGTACTTACTTCTGAAGAAATTATGTTGGGACCCTCAAAAAATTACTATGTACAATAATGGATTTCTATACATTTGACATCAGATGAAAACTTTGGTTGTAAGATTTGGATAATTATTTTTTTTTAAAGTGAGACATTTTAAATGAGAATGAGAAAGAAAAGTATTTCTTTGTGCCCCCCTCTCCCTGTTAATGCCCTACATGCCCCCCTGGCAAAACTTTGCTAGACCCGCCCCTGCACAGTTACCAGCTGTCAGCTACTTAGAAAAGGATCCTGGTGTTATTTGTCTCTCAGAAACAGTTCATAACTTCCCTTCAACTCATTCATGTCACCTAAAAGGTAAACCTGTTTCTCCATCACCTGTTCAGCCCTGATGATTCAGTAAGGACATCTCCTGGTTTCATCTTCATGTTTCCCTCTCACCAGATAACCAAACTGATATCATGACCAGCAGCTTTAGCTGTGGCTCCAGCAAACATCAGCTGATACTAGAAATTAATGGCTCCAGCAAACATCAGCTGATACTAGAAATTAATGTCTGGCTCCACACATGAGAAGGGTCACACTTTGGACCTTGTCATGTCTCACGGCTTGGGTATCCACATCTCTGAAATTTGTGAGAGTGCGTGTATCTCCGATCATTTTCCTGTTCTATTTTCTGCCACTGCACATTGTTCTGATGCTGCAGTTAAACCTCCTTCACGCCGTCACCGGATCATCAATACCCATGTACCATCTCAGTTTTCTGCTGCTTTTAGCAACTCTGAGCTCTCCATGGCGGACTGGATTGGTTCCTTGTGTGCAGAAGATTTAACTGCTCTTTTTAACTCAACATGTACTTCTATTTTGGACCTCATCGCTCCCCTAAAAACACTCCGTCCCAAAGCTCACGCTGAACCCTGGATTACAGACTCTGTTCGTGCTCTCAGGCGCACCTGTAGGTGTGCTGAGAGAAAATGGAAAAAGGACAAGCTGCACATTTCTTTTAATATCCTCAGAGACTCTCTTTCAACCTATCAGAAAGCCGTTAAAGACAAGCTGCACATTTCTTTTAATATCCTCAGAGACTCTCTTTCAACCTATCAGAAAGCCGTTAAAGAGGCCAAGTCCTCCTACATATCAAACCTGGTTAGCAGTAGTGTCCATAAACCTCAGACTCTGTTTCGTGTTTTAAATTCCATTGTAAATCCTTACACATCCACCAGCCTCACACCTTCTGCCACCCTCTGTAATGATTTTCTAAAGTTCTTTGTAAACAAGATTTCCTCCCTGCAGTCTGTCATTCCATCTTCACCTTCCAATCCCTGTGTTTTGTCTTTGTGCCATTCTGCCTTTAATCAGTTCGAACCTATCTCTCTCTCTCAGCTGCATGAAATAGTCTGCAAGGTTAAGACTACCAACTGTTCCACCGATGCTATCCCCTCTCGGCTTCTGAAGCAGGTTCTGGACTCAGTCGGACCTTTCCTTCTGGTCCTGATCAATGCCTGCCTCAGTTCTGGTTGTTTTCCAACACCCTTCAAGCACGCTGTTGTTCAACCTCTCCTTAAAAAGCCTAATCTAGATCCATCCCTACTCTCTAACTATAGGCCCATTTCCAACCTCCCTTTTCTGTCCAAAGTACTGGAACGAGCCGCCCTCATGCAGCTCCAGCTATTTCTCGACAATAACAATCTCTATGAGAAGTTCCAGTCTGGTTTTAGAGCTCGGCATAGCACAGAAACCGCCCTACTGAGAGTTTTTAATGATTTGCTTTTAACTGTTGACTCTGGTTGTGCTGCTGTCCTAGTAACCCTGGACCTGACAGCAGCCTTTGACACTGTTGATCACAACATACTGCTATCCCGCCTTCAACATTGTGTCGGAACATTGTGTCGGTTTCAAGACGGCTCACGGCCCCCCCTCCTGGACGCCCCTGCAGTCGATATAGAGCCAACAGGTTCTGTAGACCCGCCGTCAAACCAGTCTGCTATGCTCGGAATTCAAATGGGGCACGTCGGCGTCTTCAAGAACAAGAGTTTCTTTTCTCAGTAGTCCTATTTTTCTTGCAATAATAGGTTGTCGTCGTTCACGCACGTGGTCATGAAGTCATTTGAGCGCCTAGTTCTCTCCCATCTCAAGACCCTCACGGCCCCCCTCCTGGACCCCCTGCAGTTTGCATACAGAGCCAACAGGTCTGTAGATGACGCCATCAACATGGCCCTACACTTCATCCTGCAGCATCTGGACTCCCCAGGAACCTACGCCAGGATCCTGTTTGTGGACTTCAGCTCTGCCTTCAACACCATCCTTCCAGACCATCTCCGAGGCAAGCTTTCCCAGATGAATGTGCCTGATCCCATCTGCCGGTGGATCACTGACTTCCTGACGGACAGGAAGCAGCATGTGAGGCTGGGAAAGAATGTCTCGGACTCCCGGACCATCAGCACCGGCTCCCCTCAGGGCTGTGTTCTTTCTCCTCTGCTCTTCTCCCTGTACACCAACTGCTGCACCTCCACCCACCAGTCTGTCAAGCTAATCAAGTTCGCAGATGACACCACCGTTATTGGGCTCATCTCGGACGGGGATGAGTCTGCCTACAGGAGGGAGGTTGAACGTCTGGTGACCTGGTGCAGCCACAACAACCTGGTGCTGAATGCCCAGAAGACAGTGGAGATTATTGTGGACTTCAGGAAGCACACAGCCCCACTCCCCCCCATCATCCTGACTGACACCCCCATCACCTCTGTGGACTCATTCCGCTTCCTGGGTACCACCATCACCCAGGACCTGAAGTGGGAGCCCACCATCACCTCCGTCATCAAGAAAGCCCAGCAGAGGATGTACTTCCTGAGGCAGCTGAAGAAATTCAACCTGCCAACACGGACGATGATGCAGTTCTACACTGCAATCATCGAGTCCATCCTCACCTCCTCCATCACCGTGTGGTACGCTGGAGCCACTATCAGGGACAAACAGAGACTGCAGCGTGTTGTGCGCTCTGCTGAGAAGGTGATTGGCTGCAGACTCCCATCTCTGCAGGACCTGTACACCTCCAGGACACTGCGGCGTGCAGCTCGGATCTCAGCTGACCCTTCTCACCCTGGACACAGTCTGTTTGACCTGCTCCCCTCAGGCAGGAGGCTCCGGTCCATTCGCACCAGAACCTCTCGCCATAAGAACAGTTTCTTCCCCTCTGCTGTTGGACACATGAACAATAACCACATGACTGTCCCCGCCACTAACACATGACCCTACGCTGTGTCACTGCATCATTTCATGTTTGGCACTGATCACCACCTGCACTCATGTATATATCTTTCTACGTAGCACTTAATTCTTATTCTCATGTATATATCTCATGTATATCTCATGCACATATCTTTCTTTCTACATAGCACTTTAATTCTTATTGTTTGCACTGAAGCACCGCAGCAATTTCCTAATGTTGTAAACCTCAACATCTGGCAATAAACCCCATTCTGATTCTGATTCTGATTCTGATGTGTTTCTTATTTTTAGGGCGCTCCTGGTGACAAAGGCAGACAAGGTCCTCAGGGAAGAGACGGACCAAAGGTATATAAGTATCACGTACTTAAATTCTTCAAAAAAGAAAATGTTTGGTGATTTCCCCTGGCACACAACTGAAGGTGGTTTAAAATGTCTATGATCAAAAACTGACACAGTTTCTTTGCTTAAAAAAATAATTCTTTTTATTCTTCTGCATTATGTCTAGCTGTTTATTGCACAGTTTTTTGCTAACCAGCAGTGCCGGTTAAAGTCACAGCTGTCTTGGTGTCGATCTAAACATGTTTGTTCTTCGTCAACAGGGTCAAACAGGAGCACCTGGGTTTCCAGGTGATGTTGGCGAGAGAGGCTACACTGTAAGACACATCATTACTGGTCATGGAAACTACCTAAACATCTTAACATTTACTCTACGTGTCATCATTTGATTTGAATTTTAATCTCATTTGACTTCCATAACCTTTCCTTTCTTGGCAATTTTTTTTAAAATCAAAAAATCGATTCAAAAAATTGTATCAAAGGTTTTTAAGACATCTGATGATGCAGTTTCTCTGGTGTATTAATATATATCTGGGACTCTATTCAATTATGCATTAGTTATGTTATGCAATAGACAAAATATCTTCAAATATCTCGGCATGCTTGTTTTAATCAGCATAAAAGTGTATTAATAACTTCTCTGTCTGTGCAGTCCCAAGTTTGCTCAATCTGAGACGCACAGTAGTTAGTTTTACCTCTATTAGCAAATGAGCAGGAGGAAATTTCCTTAGCTGTGAGCTGTGAATTTGATTAAATCTACACGAAAGGCAGAACGTACAACTTTTTTTCCCTAAGTCCTCCAAACACGCTTTTCAAACTGTCCCATTACACAGAACAGAGTCACAGATATAATTCCATAAACCTTTCCTGGGTTGAGGAGATTCACGTTTCTCTTTTCTTCGGGTTTCCATTACAACAAATACTGACGCATACTATAGCGGTACACATGTGACTCTGTCAAGGGTTGCCTTGTGGTTTAATCTTCCTTTATTTAATTGTGTTCCATCTACGTAGCAACAGATGATATCACTCAGACTCCTCCTTTTAAAGTGACACAAGCTCCTAAGCTTCAGGCTCTAGTACAAAGCAGCTTATTTAGTGTTTTCATTTCTAAAATTTCCCGAATTCACTGTTTTATATAATTTTCTTCTTCACGTCATATTTGAACTCATTTCTCTTTTTTCTCCTTTGATTTAAAAAAATCTGAGAGCAATATTTCTTGTTTATCCTCCTCAGGGTTATCCTGGACAGCAAGGCCCAATTGGAAAGAGCGGTCCGAAGGTACACAAATAAACTGAGGCACTTTTATTCTGCTCAAATCTTTTTTTTCATGCCCGAGTGTCTGTATTTAAGTGCACCTAGTCATCCTTTCAGTTTCCAGATTATGGCCTTCATGATTCAGCCTGGGAAGAAAACTTTTGCATTTTATGAGTCTGAGAGTCACTCTGGCTCCTGGCCACATTTCACAGGAATCTCACATAAATATTATTACTGCCCAGAGGGTACATTTTTTTTTCCAGTTTGGATATCTCATTTCTGCCCTTTTGCGAGACCCACATCACAAACTAATGAATCAGCCATAAAAATAGCAAAACTGTCTAAAGCCAAGGCACACTGTTAAGAGCTGGTAAAACTCCCTACAAAAAAGCTAAAATAAAGGGAATGATGTAAGTATGGGCAATTAAAGAATTTAGTATTAATGTAACACACAAACATATGCAGTGTTAGTTGACTCTAAGTACACACTTTATTAAGCTGAATAAATGACAAAAACACTTTTGTATAACAGTATACATCACTGGCTCTCAAACCTTTTCTAACCTATTTCAGCCTAGAAGCCAAAATAAGTTATAGCAACACACAATAAAAAAAACAAAAAGAATAAAAATGGTTGAAGTTGAATTTTACTTAAATGTGCCAGCACAAGCACATTTAAGCACTTAAGCATTTAAGCACACTTGCCTTCCCCCCCAAATATTGTATTGTAATTTATTCATTTGTTTAACTTTATATTTTTCACCTGTTTGCTGGCACCTCACCAGTGGTCCTACTGAGACTTCAGAGTAGCAGTCAGAAAAACTTCATGTTGACTGAAGGCTTTCAAAAGCCTCCTTCAGGAAAACCTTTTAAATAAATGATTAACAAGGAACAGAAACATTTTTATCGTATTAAAAATAAAATAAAAAATTAAATTAACCACAACAAGAATAAAACAAGATGATTTGTAGGAGATCTTAATAATCTGTTTGCTCAGTTTTATCAAAATAAAAACCCAGATCTATCTTGATGCATGCTCAATCATCCAGGTAAGTAAATCCCAAAAGTTGATTCTGTTCATCTGGACGTAACGTTTTCAGTGGGAGAAACGTTTCGTCATCATGCAGGTTGACCAATCTTATAAACAGTACATTTGCATAATGACTGAAACCAGCCCACTGAAGGAACAATGGGCTGGGAGGTCAGTTCCTTAATCATAATTATGCAAATTCTCATGACCATTGATCAACAACCACTGATCAATGGCCATGAGTACCATTCACAGAGAGTTGGGGAATGGCTGCAATCACAGCATTGTAAGATGGCGAAAGATGTACCCTTAGGCCCCCTCCTCGATTCAGAGATGGTCTTTCCCTTTTCACGTAAATGGCCTCCTTGACTCAAACCAGCGTTCCTCCCTGTCCAGGATGTTACATCCTCATCATTGAAAGAGTGTCCACTGGCCTGTAGGTGTAAATGAAAGTCCAGCTGGGATAACCACATTTACTCAGGGCCTTCTTGATGTGATGTTCTTCTGCTTCCCTGGCTGCTGTGTCTGTGGGGATTGTGTTCGCTCTGTGTTGTAGCGTCCTGATGACACCCAGTTTATACTCCAGTGGATGATGAGAGTCGAACCTTAAATACTGATCCGTATGCGTAGGTTTATGGTACACATCAGCTTTTAGCTGTCCCCCATTACTGATGGAAATCTCACAGTCTAAGAAGGCTAACCTGCCACTTTTCATATCCTCCCTGGTGAATTTGATGTGTCGATTCACTGAGTTAATGGAAATCACTGACTGAAAAATGTGTATGTATATTTAATTCTATCATATTGAGAAAATTGTGGAAATATATAAGAAAGGTTGGGAAAATACATAATAAAAGAAGAGGATGCACAGTTTCCAGTAACAAAATTCCAAATATTTAATGTGTGTCAGCTGTTAACTAAGTAGATCATGTGACAAGTTGGCTTATTAGGCAACACCAAGCCAGAATATGTGCTATATAAAGCAATTACACTAATTAACTAAAGAACACACACACACACGAGATGAAAGGATGAAGATACCTAAAAATCTGTTTAACGAGTAGAAATCAGGAGTGTGCTTAGCTTAGCTTAGCATACAGACTGGAAATGGAGGGAAAAGAACTTGTGTGGTTTAGACAGCAAAACCACCTACTTACTAAATAAGAAACTCTTTGGCAACCCTTATTTTTCACAATATTTTTTTATTGCAACAAACTAAACTTATGACAGACGATCATGTTTGTCAATCAGTCACAAGCGGAAAAAGATAATTTCTTCCTGTGCTTCATATGACCTTTGTAATCTAAATGTGACACTGAAAAATGGGAAATATATATTTGATCTGATATAACGGATGATAAGCAGATTCAATAAATCAACGTAGATTCTCATTGGTGGCAGGCAAAATCCCCATAAGCTGTTTTTCTCTCAGTAGGAAAGAAAGTAATTTTCTTGTGAGACATTTCTAGCTCTAACTTTAGGTCTCCCTGAAACTTTAAGTTCAGAGAGGAAAAAAAATACCATATATTACACTTATTGCTATAGGGTTTTAAAAAAGTATATGTATACCTTTACCTTTTCTGTCTATATGTAAGTGAGCTATAGAAGCCAAAAAGAAAGTAGAAAAATGAAAAGTTTCAGTGATGTAATCAAAGTAAAGTAGAAACTGGAAGCACTGGATTAAATCACTGTATTAGCTGTTTTGGCAGAGAATCAAAAACACAGAGTAGTTTCTGAACTTTCCCAAAGAGTTCTCTCTTACTTTGATCTCAGCCATCTGACTTTTTATTGAATATTTTTACACTTACAGAGATGTTTACTGAAAAGTTTCTGTACAAAATCCTCACTAAAATACTGAGTCAAACTGAGAAATGCATGAACACTAGTGTCTAATAAGAGTGCCAGTATAACAAAACTGAGGCTAAGGTTCTTTGAAGAGCTGTAGTTGAAGGGTAGTAAGTAAAAGTGAAAGTAAAGAGTAAAAGTGAGTACAGGAGTTATCTTAACTTGACTTGGTTCCCAGAAAATCTATTTAACCTGTTTAACCAGTTCACAACCATTTAACATTGTGCTGCTGCCAAAGTTATTTATAATGTGTAATGTAATGAACAACCCAAGTTTTTGTTTAACTAGTTTCACACACAGCAGCACGTCAGTGTGATTCACTGACAGGAACAAACAACTCAAAACTTCATTTTCAGTTTTCTCTTAGGATTTCCTGAAGCTGAAGCGGTTTCGATCATTATATGATTATCAGTTGATTCACTGAGTGTTTAAAAAAGTAGATTAGCTAGTTACATTTTCTGGAGCCCGTTATTCCTACCACTCCTTTTTATTTTACTTTTTTGCTGAGTCATTTTACCTAATTTCTTTCTGATTGCATCTTGATCCTTGAATCCTAATCCTATCCTAAGATAAAGTGTAGAAATAGATCAAAGATGTATCTTTTACTCTTTGGGAACATTTTTGTAGCGTTTTGACTCACACATAGTTTCCTTGAAGTCTGTGTGTGAACAGAATGGGAATAAAACTGACTATCAGACTGTTCAGATTCAATTAAGTTTGTTGCTCACAAAGTTTTTAAAAGCACATTATGTAATATTATTGCTGTTCATACACTTTGTGTTTTCAGTGATTTTTTTTTATTGTGTGATACAGGGAGTGCAGAATTATTAGGCAAGTTGTATTTTTGAGGAATAATTTTATTATTGAACAACAACCATGTTCTCAATGAACCCAAAAAACTCATTAATATCAAAGCTGAATGTTTTTGGAAGTAGTTTTTAGTTTTAGCTATTTTAGGGGGATATCTGTGTGTGCAGGTGACTATTACTGTGCATAATTATTAGGCAACTTAACAAAAAACAAATATATACCCATTTCAATTATTTATTTTTACCAGTGAAACCAATATAACATCTCCACATTCACAAATATACATTTCTGACATTCAAAAACAAAACAAAAACAAATCAGCGACCAATATAGCCACCTTTCTTTGCAAGGACACTCAAAAGCCTGCCATCCATGGATTCTGTCAGTGTTTGATCTGTTCACCATCAACATTGCGTGCAGCAGCAACCACAGCCTCCCAGACACTGTTCAGAGAGGTGTACTGTTTTCCCTCCTTGTAAATCTCACATTTGATGATGGACCACAGGTTCTCAATGGGGTTCAGATCAGGTGAACAAGGAGGCCATGTCATTAGTTTTTCTTCTTTTATACCTTTC